GTCTGCCAAGCGTTCGATGACAAAGTAAATTAGCGCTTTACCTCAGATCGGTAGAGCTGGCTAAATGTAGAAAATGTAGAACACGGATGTCGGTGATGAGGCACAGCACCACGAGCTAAATAGATCGCCTCTTGGAAAGTGCAATACGACCTTTAGATGAAAGACAAACGCTGCAACAAGTTTCTGGGAGCTCCATACAAGCACATTGAAACTGACCGCGGGACTGGAATGGAAATTGAACGGGGTCTGGACTGCACGAACTGGAACTGGGACTGATGACTGTAACTACGACTGGAGCTGGGACTGATGACTAGGGCTGATACTAGTGAAACGGTAGGTTCGACGCAATGTTGGCATTCGCGCATTATATTAAAACATTGCTATTTCGATCAAACAGACACCGAAACAGATACCCGATCTTGTACGGAATAAGATCCATGAGACACTCCTGTTTTAGCCGGTCCATGACTCCATGTTGACTCAAACTATGCCCAGTGACTCCCCAAAGACCAGCGGGCGTTGAAAACCACGTGGCAATGGATCCCAATGGGAGGCAGTCGATGTGACCCGGACTCAGACTTTACCACCGATGACGTCACGCATGTCAGTGGCGCTGACAGCCGACACAGCATAACGGGTATAACAAATACCCCACTGAATATGACCATCTATTACCGCATAATCCGGCCTCAGGCCATGTGACCTTTTATTATTTCTGTCGACTGGTGTAAATCGACGGTTACTGAAATGGAAAACGAGCAACATGAGGCCAAGTGTGTTCGAAAACTCCGTTTGGTTGGATGGGGATAATCTAACACATTGATCCCCACCGAAATATTGGTTGACTGTCAAACCATCAGCAGAGTGACTGGTCGAGCAGACAGGGTGTCAGGCCGACGATAGTGAGCAGCACTGCAGTCAGGATGACAGCTCTCAACATCCTACTCCGTGTCTGTGTCTGACACTGTCAGCGCTGACCCAGGCCAGAACTAGCAACATCAACTCGCCAGGAGAGGTGCTACTCATAGGGATTGTCATCACATCATGCAGTGGACGCCGGAACTAGAGCCCCAGCGATATTCAGTAGTCACCAGCCACGTCCAGACCGACTGAACCAGCCACAGGGGAGAACCCACTGAGCAGTACGTCTAGAGAGTCAGTCTGGCTGACTGACAGAGCCGCTGGACAGATTGGCAAACGCTGCATCTGACTGCACCGGGGACAGCCCCGTGGCGAGGCACGTTTCGTCACGATAACGTCACAGAAGCGGCGTCACACCGCATCATGCTGCCAACGATAACGTCTCGCCGTGCCACTGGTGACCGGAAGTGGCGCGGGAGACGCGGAGTCCGCCCCCACGGGGTTATTTGTCACCGACCAGTCGTCCCACCATCCTGTCTTACGCCTCAACACCCGTCATCTGTCATCCGTCATCCGTGAGGTGCGAGACTTCACGATTAGCTCACTATGAGATGCTCCAGCAAAACCTTCAGTGATGCTGCCAGAGCTTAGCAAAGTAATGTTATGCATAGCTATGCATAGTAGGTAAACACAAAGTGAGAGGCTCCAGTAAAACCTACTGTCATACTACGATAGGCTCCACAGTCAGACCAATATGGTACTCAATATACATAATAGTCAACTGAGAGAAGGCGCAGGCAATGCGCTGTGAAAGGCTTCCGGACCCTCAGCTTTTATCTGTCAATCCACCCACCCCAGCCCATCCGGAGGTCGCGAAAACGTGCTCTCAGGAGTACCGGGGTGGCCCCAAAGGCGGTGCTAGTCCGCTCCCTAGAGCTCTAGCTCTGAAACAAACACTGCGACCAAAGCGTACAACACGCAGAAGTTGTGTGATGACGACGTGGAAGTTGATAGGGTGATCTATTGGTGTAGATCGCGTGTGTGCATTGTGCAATCGGTATGTCACACGCGATCCACGCATTGAACCGCATCCGCTTCCAGACCACGCACTTGTCGAATCAATGTATCTTCTGCGTCGAAACCGGTAAGCCTCGAGCGACCAAAAACAGACTGCGCGTATGTTGCAAGTTCCGTCAACCCACCAGCACACATCGATTTTCGCGTGGACAAATAACCAATCCGTATAGACCACCGTCATCTCTGCGCCATTCTAGCTCGCGGACACTGAGCGACTTCAGTACATCGCTCAGTTAGAGCTCAGTCGCCCAGTAAATGGATTGTCTGAGGCTTGGGTGAACGTGTCACTGGTGACCCTGTAAATCTGGCAATATGGCTCGATGTAATGTCAAAATGCTTTACCCGGCGAGGGAGGCAAAGTGAGACGATTGGAGAGTGATCATCATTTATATGCAAGTATTTATTAAAACATTTGCTGTTGTGTTTGGCATTGCAATCCGCTTGCAATATGCAACTCTGCTAGGGTATATCCGATAATTCGATAACTCAGCTAGTTACGCTACACAACTTAGCTAGCTGGAAGTTACGTGAAGCATTTCAACGAAGACACTGTCACTGGCTTTCGAGGCTGATCCGGCCCATCAAGTGTCCAGTATCCACTGTCCACCTCACATCCTGTCCCTCCGTCCATCTGTCCATCGATAAGCCACCATATCCCACCACCATACACCACCGCGTCGGTGGCCAACCGCCCGCGGCGCCGGCGCTGGTCCAAAAACACACATGACTGCGCGAACCAGGTCATCGAAACGCCCGCCACCGCCGCTCGAGGTAGCGTGTCATTCGCCTGTCGCGACAATTTGGTACGGCTAGGAGAGACCATATGACGCTGTATAGAAGGCAGTGTCAGATGCGGTGGGAGTAGTAGATATCAAACCAATTCCGAGAGCATGGCAAGCGGCCGTTATGTGGCAGATTGTACTTACGACGTCACCTGAACCGAGGAGGATAATTTAAATTGAGAATGCCATGCATCAATGAGGCAGGCATGAGAGCGAGTGTGATTGCAAATAACCGGCCAATGAAATCATGCATGCATGCATGGATGAATGAATGAATGAATGAATCAATCAATCAATGAATCAATGAATCAATGAATCGATGAATGAACCTACGATGCGAGAATCGAAGCATTTACACATTGTCTTGCTTTTACACATTGTCTTGCTCATTATATTAGCAGAATGCCACAAGCGTAGCGATGCAAAGAAATTACGGATACATTTCAAAGCTGTATGTCCTATCTGAATGCCCATTCATACGCCACTAAAACAACATAACATACCAAGACCATCTTGTCGCGGCCACCGGCCTTGACCGCCATGTTGGGCCAATGACGTCATTCGGAGCTGACCCGGCTAAGACCGGGTACGTACCGACCTCACAGCCTGTCCCATTCAATTACCCATGGGCAGAGGGAGCGCTCCGAAGTGGGCAAAACTCTCCCAACGAGCCCGAACGACGGAATGGTTTAAATCGTAATCAAAGTCGTCCATCCAGTTCAGCGTCTGAGCTCAGCCACCGAAATATATCACGTTCATCCAGGGGAAGTGGATGAACCCCGGTGCCACGGACCAATAAATCACGATTAGGGATAAATCACAGTCAGGCGGCTTTGTCGGGAGACAAGCCGGCCAGGCTCGCCGTAGTGCGCGGATATTTGACGTTATCGAATAGCAACAACAGTCGTCAGGTGCTCCATCCATAATGCATGCTGTTTGTGATATAACTGGCTGCCGATAGAGCAGGCTTACAACCTCACGGGACCTAAATACCATTGCTATCGGGATTGATACCATAGATCGATACTGGTATCGTTCAATGATTAGTGATCACATGACTGAGTAATTCAGTTTGCTACGGTAGATCAGGCGTTGGATAGTATTAAACCACAGACTGCAAAAGCCACACCAGAAATAAACCGACTATCGACCAATGGCGCGCAAAAAGGAACAGAAGCCTCAGTGCTCCGTAAAAAATAAATAAACAGAAACGTCAAGCTTCTGAGTGTGAACTATGAACTAGCCCACTCGAATGGAAACATGACTGACAACCGAATGTCATATGCCTGACCAAATGCAACACATAACTCAAGAAAAAGAACGATCGCAATATCATGCTAAAATACCTTGAAAGTTTGATAATATTCTAGCGAGTTCCTATCATTTATAACCTGCACTTGTTTTCCTAGAGTGGACTCCACGTTGCTAGAATGTGGTAGGGGCAGTAGCTCGACAAACAAGGATAACATGTCCGCACAAACTCGTTCTGCATTCCAATGGAGATAAGAACTATCGAAAACATAACAACCTCCTTTATCATTATAGCCAGATCATAGCATAACTACCAATGACTGATATCAATCCGACCACGTTGATTCGTGCACGGATGGGATGGGCGAACAGCTGCGGCTCCTTAGAACCTTTAAACGTGCGTGGAGCAGAACGACGGCGTGAAGAATATCGTAAGTCTTGAAGATGCCCCTAATTGTCATCGATGACATTCATGTATGTTTTCCAGCGATATACACGCTGTAATGACACGATGCATATATGTTTCCTGATGAAAACGTTCTAAACCTTGTTTGTTTTTCTTTGTTGGACCAAACTCTTTCGGTCTGACGAGACCATTTCAGAGCCGGAAGGATTGTAGGAATAAGAGAGGGGGGGGGGGGTTGGTCTGAGCGGGCACCATGGCGACTCGTCGGGGCTGAGCCCGTCACTTAGACAGGCTACCCAGCCCCACGAACGGTCACTGCACCCGGGTACGGGCCTGCTCCTTACGGGGGCACCCTGAATGGGATAAAGGTGACCGTCCCGCCAAGAACAAGGGGTGGAGGCGTGGAGGAGAAGGATGTGACTGTCCTGAGGGTAGAAACGACGAAACGGAGGAATAAACCCTTCATCTTTTAAGGCCTGATGACAACAGCTATCCATCAGTCGGCGAGCCTACCCGAGCGCAAGTCGGTCTCAGTAAGTCTGTTCCGCGCAGCGCGCCATCTATGAACCTCTTCACAAACTATCAGTGTGTGTTATTGCCGACAGGTAGCAGCAGGGACCCACCTGGCCACGTTCTCCATGCTGACCGCTTTCGGTGTGGATATGTTGTAGGGTTCGTTGTAGGCAGACGAAGTGTCCAGAGGAGCTGAAACGAAACAGACGAGGTACCGTAAGGTGGGGCTATTTGAGACAGTGGGGCTATTTGAGACAGTATTTAAAATTGCTATAAAATAAAAACCACTTAAAATTTATGCTGGATTTTTTGCTCAGGCGATTTACTGCTCGATTCCACACCTCCCTGAGCAAAAATATCACACAAAAATCAAACGATCTTCATTTTATAGCGATTTTAAATACTGTCTCAAATAGCCCCACTGTCTCAAATAGCCCCACTTTACGGTAGTTGTTATAGGGTAAAATCAACAACGGGCACATTAACCAGCTTCCAAACTCGGATGCAGCGCACAGTTAAGTTGGTAACGCTCGCCGCGCCATTCATCACACCTCGCATTCTCAGCCCACCCCTGACATTTCACCGCCTCATCACACCCCGCTTAAGTAAGTTCCCACAATTAAACTTAAAACTACCTAGTACCTACCTTACTTTCACCTCAACCTAGTGGACTTTATTTCATATTCCCTCATTTGACGACGCCTTACATCACGTTCTTACTTCCCCTTCGTTCTACTGCCCCCATATCCTACACGAACACAGCTTATTCATCCTCACTGTCTCCTTCTGTAACCTCCCCCTAGCCCCACCCCAACAGTCCCCACCCCTTACTCACGCGGCGGCGGTGTCCGTCCGTCCAGCATATCGTATCGGCCGCCGGAGCCGTTGTTGCCCGTGCCGCTGTGTCCGTTGTTACTGACGTGTGCCGCGCTGTTGGTGTTACCCGTCGGCGGCTGTGGCGGCGGCGGCGCACTGTACGCCGCCGGGATCGGGGCGGGGGCGGGGGCGGGGGCGGGGGCGGGGGCGGCCGAGGGCAGCGGGCCGTCGTGTTTGACCAGGGTGAGCACCACGCGGTCGGTGACGGACTTCAGCGCCGCTACGGCCTCCTCGTGTGTGACGTTGGTCAGGGCCCGCTCGCCCCGCTGAAACAGAAGAGAACGCGGTTAGTATCGCTAGAAAACGAAATGCCGACAAGGCACGGCGAGAAGTAGGCATTTACAAATGAGAGACGAAAGAGCACGAGCCTAAAGACAGCTGCGCTTACGGCAAACTAACTCTGTAGCACAAAAAAATGAATGCCCAAAGCTGCGCTCAGCAGGTCTCCACTGGACTAATTGGGACTGCTATCCAAGAGCTGATACTTCAATTCCCATAAACAACATTCCCCGTCCACCCCACTTCTCCGTCTCACCGCTACATCCACGGCGATCAGCCGGTTGCCGATGGACATGGTGCCGTCCAAGAGGTTTTAAACTCTTGCTTTTACATCTCAATGCTATCTCCCCCACTGTTCCCCTTACAGTTTGACTCTCCGACTTACCCCTGCATCCACAGCGATCAGCCGGTCTCCAATGGACATGGTGCCGTCCTGGTGTGCCGCGCCACCCTCCATGATCTTGGTCACGTAGATACCTGGGGAACGGGTGCCGGTCAGATGTTAGTCCTGTGCCCTGTGCAGCATCATACACACTCGACACACAGTGTTCGTACACATTGCACACACTGCATGTCTCTGAATGGGAGACAAACATTGAGATGCAAAAGCATATTTCCGCCCACGTCCCCGACGGCTTGCCTCCAATACTGTCTCCCGGTCTCCTGTCTCCCCATCATTAATCAATGGTATGTGCTGGCCTCCGCTCCCTCCAGCGCTGCTGAGCCCCACATTCCCCTTGTCTCTTGCCTCCAGTCCCTTGTCTCTCACCATTGTCCCCAGGTATGTGTTGATTTCCGCTGCCTCCTGCGATGCTGAAGCCCAGTCCTCTGCTGCCCTTGTGCAGCTCCAGTTGTACCACCCGCTCCGTGCGGGGCTGGCGGCGACGCTTCACAGACTGCAGAGCAGAGAAGGGCCAGTTAACAGAGGGATTGCAGCGCTGTTTCTGGAGGAGAAGATTGTCGACGTCACTGGATAGAATAGAAGCAGGTAGGGTGGGAGTGCAGGGTTGGCGCACCCACAGTGAACTGATCAAAGGAGTCAGTGAGCTTCACAGGAGAGGGGACGATGTAAAAGAGAGCTTTGGTGGTTTAGGTTCGTATATGATGGGTAAATGGGGGCGGGGGGGGGGGGGAGAATGACAGCGAGCTGACAGCAGGTAGAGTTGATAAGTCATACAGAGCAATAACGAGAACAGTTCCGATAACATCAACGATGCTGGTGTGCTAGACTGCTACGCCACCACCCGGGTCATAGCTGATACTGCAGCGGAGCCATGACCTTCACCACATGAAACAGATTAAGAGGTACACACAAAACGTGTAGCATCGTAGCAGCCTGATACAGTCCCGATGGCCTTGTAGCGCTGCTGCCCCACATGAGTTAAATCCCTAGACAGGATACGACGCCACTATATATTGCATAGTGCATGATGCAGATACACTCTGCTCAATCCTTCCACTCTCAATTGTGCATGAATACGAACCACCGCTGACCTCTACGATATACCTTGGATTCTTGAATTACAGACCGGTGGACAGGTTGGTTACCATGCCGCCCACTATGTAAAGCCACCCCCCTCCCCTCCCCAGCACAGCGGTACCAGTGTCTGGGGGCCGCGCACGTGACCCGTCGGCCCTCTGTAGTCGGCGGCGATGGCTCAGAGCTCACGGACGGTGTGCCAGGGGAGTCGGACGTGTGGCGAGGTCACCGGCCGCCGTGACTGGGCGGCGGGTGAGGAGACCCGCAGACTTATCGAGAGGTTGGGGAAAAGTGAACCTACTGGCCTGGTAAGAGACATGACAATGATAGACGTGACTGTATGCCGGCTCGGTTTTTCAAGAAAGCGATTTGTACTTTCAAGAAACATGCACGTGAACTTGCGTTTCCTTGGAGAAGTAACCAAAGCTGAGTTATCCACCAAACAGCGATCATGCACTAAGGCTACAGCTCTAGCGAGTTACACCAAACTGAAGCAAATAACTAATTAGCTAATTCCAGCAGGTAACGACCCTTTTGCTTTGCTAGCCCTTAGTAGCTGCGTGCCACATTTGAGATGCCTAATATCCCGCCGACCTTCCCTGCCTACCAAAGATCAAGGTCCAAACTTCCATGGCACACTTCTCGCGACCAAAGTCACGGCTTCGCGGGATGCCGCATTCCGACCTCATACCTGAACTGGATTCCAGCACGACTTTACCACGCTCACAATCCAGCATTTAATCTCACATTTAATCTTGCATTCCAGAGAACAGCCGTCCTGTCCTCCATATTCAAAGCTTTAGTGCTTTTTATCCTCTTTACGCTCAAGTGTCATGATTTAGACCGGAACACCGGCTACAGAATCCCTCCAAACCCAACCAGTGATCACTGCTGTGATGACATTGCCTTCAATTCATACCCGTGCCGCCCATCCGCATACCACCCGATCCCTATAATCCTCCGCCCTCCTATCCCGGCACTCCGAGGCGTTGATCCCATGTTGCTCCTACTAAGTGGACGTCGATACCCAGTCCCGTACTCTCACCCTCCTACTCCCTCACAGACACTCATCCTCTCATCCCTCTGTGTCTAACCAAGAACAAATTAGTTTCACACCAGGTACACATAAATTTCTCACCAAGTACACATTAGGTTCTCAACAGGTGGACATTAATTTCTCACCAAGTACACACTAGTTTCTCACCAGGTGGACGTTGGTGCCGGCCCGTTTCAGCGCGTCCACCGCCTGCTCATGGGTGACATTAACCACGCTGACGCCGTTGACGCGGGCGATGATGTCTCCAACGCGAAGACGTCCGTCGGAGGCGGCAGGGCCGCCCGGGATCAGCTTGGTGATGTAGATGGACGGGTCGTCCCTGTGGAAGAAGATGACACAGAGTCAAGGCTGGTGAAGGCGGGGCGGGGGTCGCTGAGGGAGGTGATACAAATAACGTAATGAAGAGCGTTACGAACGGCGTTACAAAGAACATCACAATGGAGAAGAGGACATTGATTGTTCATAGGCAACGTCAGCGTCATAAGTAAGTAAGTTGGTGTACTGGAAAGCGTTAGGAGAACGGTGTCAGAAGCGTCAGGGGAAGCGTGCGTCTGGGGAAGTGTTATGGTGATCTGTCACAGAGGAGCATTACGGGGTAGCGTTACAGGCCAAAAGCAATAGTGTCGCAGGATAAACAATAGTGTCACGTCATCGCCAGAGACGAACACTGGTTTGCAAGCGTCACACGTGCCGCTGCGTAGTGGCAGATCACAAATGAGTCACGTGGAAGGTAACGAGAATGACGCACTGAAATCGTCACGGATGCCTGCGCCGTCACGCGATGCACCGTCACGCGACACGCCGTCACGCGAGGTGTGGTGACTGCCGATTAGGATGACCGCATGAGCGGTCACGGTCACGGTTAGGGTTAGTACAGTCACGGTCAAGGTCGTTGGCTTGGCAGGGTCTAGTCGAAGACGTTGGCACGGCAACGGTCAAGGTCAGGGGTAAATACAGTCAATGTCAAGGTCGTTAGTACAGTCCCGGATAAGGAAGTGCCAAAATATAGGCGTGAGCATTGAGCAAGAGCTTCAGATCGGAAGAAAATGGGTCACTCAAAAAGTACACGCCGCAAAATTTCGCTCAAATACCTTTGAGAAGGCTCAAAGTCGATTTACATCCGCTCCTTATCAGAAACACTGGACTTGTTCACACTACTGCAGTGTCAACAAATCCAGTAAAATAGCATCAATGATGTGTGAGCGCATCATTATGAACTGAATTGAATAGAACACGAATTAATCATTTCCCTCGACTGAATATAACGATTAAGGATAGACTGAATCTTTAATCGTCATCACCATCATTCAACGAAATTCGAGATAACGTATCGCTCTTTAAAAGGTGCGCTGATAATCCTACACAAATACCACAGTGCGCTCCGTACAGCTCAGATACCAGAGCACACAGCCCACACAGCCAGTTCCCCGACACTCGCCCTATCTGTGTCTCCGCGTCACCGACCAGACCCATCGCATCACTGTGATTCAGGCCACAGTCTCGCGACAGAGCGCCGAGGGCAGCGATACGGTATCTCGATCGTAATACAGCGGAGACGTCGTGATACCAATCACATACAGTCAGCCAGCGCGGCGGAACGTTTTAAAGGACGGCAGAGTCGTCCACTCAAGCGAAACCGACATAAACGAGAGACAACTGCCTTGCCCGTGGCCAGGACCAGTCCACACTACGTAGACAAACAAGACGGGACCGATGTAAAACCATATGTCTCTTTAGTAGCAACCAACACGGTTGGGGTGATTTTACAAGTGCATGTTTGAGGACTAGAGTATGCTTACGAGTATATCGGTTTCGCACTGTGTCAATGGCTGACAGAGCCCACACGTTACCTGATCTACGTATCACGGCCCCACAAACCACCCTCTAAGCACTATCCACCCACTTGGTGAAACTGGGCCTTGGTGAAACTGGGCCCTGGTTTTCACCCACTTGGTGAAACGGGGCCCTGGAAATTGAGTTTACCCCACTTGGTGAAACTGGGCCCAGGTAAGTTCATAATGCGTCATGTTATGGATACAGATGACAAGGCTGCGCAGTGAGATAAGTCTCTCAAGCTACCTCTGATCAACTTGAACGGCGAGGTGGTCCACTATCCTATACGCCCTACCTCACGGGGCCGGTGGGGTCACGGGTCACCGATCACCGTCAGCTGACCTTTGACCCTTGACAGGACTATCGTTAGTGGCACGTAATAAAGCACCCATTACCGACCGGCGCCCGACGACGACAGCACCATGACCGTGAACGATGAGGTGACGCAGGAAAAGGTTATTTGGTGCAGTGGTCTACCTGTGGCAATGCGGTATGCGGGTTTTCCATTTTTGGTGCAATAACAATAGTTGCCTATGTCGCTTACGAGTGTCAACTTCAGTCCTTCAAACTTTTGGCGCCTGAAGAAAATGCTAGGTGGGCAGTGAAAGAAAAATAACATAAGGAAAACAGGTAAGTCAATAACACCAAGTTCCTCACTGGGGCTCTATGTTACGTCCATCAGTTTGACGCTGTTTGTTTAAAAAAGAGCAGCTGCTTCTGCTATTCTACATGCAGTACCTACTGGGGCATTCCACGATAGATCGTACCAGGCCCGTCACCCTCATCTCTCAGATTTGAATGAAAATTGGTACAAGGGGTAATCATAGGCTCCAAAAACACCTGCCAAAATATCAGGCTTCTCAGATGAAAACTTTTTGAGTTACATTGCATAATATTTTCTAAACTTCAGATTGTAAGGGTGAGTTTGATGAGCTATAACTCAAAAACGAGCTAAGCAAGCAACAAACGGTAAACAGCTTTGAACTAACGATGAATCAAAGATTAATACAGTATTTTTAAAATTGGAAAGAAAAGCTTTACATATTGAAAAAAATCGTAATATTTTTTAAATTGTCTATAATGGCCCTTGGGACCAAAATTTTTGCCATTTTTATTTCTTCAAAATAAACCTCAGGTCCTTTAAAATCGACATCCAAAAAATTAGAAAGGTGTTCTTTCTATAAGTTCCTCATTTAAATGTATACAAAATGGGTTTCCGGGGGTTCGGTACGACCCCAGCTCGCCGTTTCGCCTCTAATGGAGCTAGAACCTTGCGGAAAAAACGAGCATGTGCGCCGTTACAAGATGCATCGAATGATACCACATTTTAAGGTCTCGGGTTCATTGGTGACCCCTGAGGTCATTTCAAGTGACCCAAATTACGGGTCCGGTTTTTGATAGATAACTTCGCAACAAATGGTCGCAGAGCCGCGATTTTAGCATCTTTGTGTTTGCCTAGCTCCGGCGCGTCGAATGGTATACTGTTTGTTCTGGTGAGGTCAGCTTAAGTCGCTGACCTCGGGTCAGCACACTGCCGTGTATTTGGCTCCGCTCCCCGACCGGGCGACCCAGCCGGCAGCCAGCCGCCGGGCATCACGTGACCGCCCCGAGTCCGCAGCAAAGCCAACCAGCTCGGCGCTGGACAAACAGCGCCGCCACAGAGATGGTTAACAGTCCGGTCAGGCCACGAAGCTGGGTGAATGAGATCATATTGCACATCATTCGATTCGCAACGGCTTCCCGAGTCCATTGGTAGCTTTCCCGTCTCTCTAGCTCAATTTGATCGAGAGTTATTGACGAAAAACTCTTATGACCCTAGTGACGTACGAATGACGTCACGCAGAGGTCAACAATGCAAAAGTGAGGCAAAAATCACTTCAATTGAACTTTCAGTAACCAGTGATGTCACTAGGCAGCTTTACCACACCATTTGTAGGCTCTCTTCCGAAATCACAATTCGAGACCATTACGGTGACGCAAAATAAGTACATTTATAGAAAGAACACCTTCCTAATTTTTTGCATACTACTTAAAAATGATCCAAAATTGTTTTTAAGTAAATAAAAATTCGAAAAAATTTGGTCCCAAAGGCATAAAAATGCAAATGAAAGGAAACTCGAGGTGTTATATATCAAAAATAATATAAATTTCAAAATTTTAAAAATGCATATTATTCTTTGTTTCAATGCAAGTTCAATGCCGTATAGCATTTGGCATTTGGATTATCCGTCTTAGAGTTACAGCCCGCCAAACTTGGGGCTGCAACGCAAGATCCAAAACATGTTATACACTATAACTCAAAAACCACTCATCTGATAAGCCTGAAATTGTTACAGGAGGATTCAGAGCCCCTGATTACCCCTTAGACCAATTATCGTTAAAATCCGAGACATGAGGGTGTCAAATTGGAAAAAAGTGGTACGATCTATCGTGGAATGCCCCTACTAACAAAACGTCAGTCGTCACACATAACGTTTTATTCCGTACCCCTTCAGCTAATGCCTTCTTCATGTTCAATGTTCACTCACCCGACGTGTGGATTGTCGTGTCCGCCGGCGATACTGAAGCCGAGCCCCTGGGTGCGTCGCAGGGATACCTCCTCGTATACCCACTCATCGTCGCCGTTCAGCTGAAACAGAGAGAAAAGAACGAGCTTGAGTAAAGCATTACACTCTCAGTGAGACCTCTGGTAACTCTTTTGAGCACTCACTCATCGTGACTGTTTCAAAACGAACGGGTGGAGCAAAACAGTACGAACTGAACAAACAAAACCGTTAAGTGTTGATCAGTGCCAACTAAAAACTGGCAAGTTTCAACAAAACTGGGCTTATCAAACTGTCAACGCCTTTCAGTTGAGATGAACAGCGATCAAGGGAACAGCCCGCACAAACATATTAGCACAGCAAATCTACCGCCGGAAGTGCTGGGTCCGTCAGTTGGAGCAGATAAAATGCACAGTACACTGCGCAGCCGACGGAAAGCTACGTACAATTTTCACCCGGAAAGAGAGACAGCCGAGTTGCGACAGATGTGTCTTTCATCCGCTAGCGAGAACTACCATGTTCATATGGATACAGCTCGTAATTCAAGAACAACGAGGACGCAAGTTTATTAACATGACAGGTAAGACGAGCCAACAAATGTAGACAACGATTTGATGTGACTATAAAGCGGCCGAACCGCCCAGTTGCATACTCGTAGTTGGAGACGGAAACCAATGCAGTTTAGCGAGAAATCAGTGGGAGAAAGAAATGAACAGTGAACACCTCATAAGCCCATATTGGCTCGATAATAAACTAGTCTGACATACCGCGGCACCATCCAATCGATCAATTCATGCAAATCAAATTAGCACTGAGTGATGGATAATGGATTAGTCCGGAGCAGTGCAACATCATTACTCCATTCAAATAAAAATCGATGACAGTGCTAAATCAATCATCAGTATCTAACACACTTGAACTTGAAGCCCAGCTTATTGATAATTTTGATAAACCTTACCACTCTTTTGGTCCTTTATTATCCAAAAATGCCGCTAATGTTCTGTTTGAAAACTTCTTGTTACTCCATAACCGCAGGTTGTTTGAAATAGGCAACCACTATTCGTTAGAATTGTGTTTTTCTATTGATAACGATAAGAAGCTTTCAGTCCCTCCCTATACCCAACACCCGTATCTAACACCCAACACACCAATACGACCCCCTCCTCACCGCGACCGTACACATCAGTCTGGTCTCGTGTGCACCAGGTCAAACCACACCCCGTCCGTTATTATGAGACGCGTGCTACAAACAACACCAGTCTCTGATTCTCCTGCCGGTCTCCAGTTTGATGGCCGAGCCACACCGCCGGTTGGACCTGCTCAAATAACAATAACCCGACCAAGCGAAGTCACCCGGCGGTACCGAATGACTCACCTAATCGCGTGTCAACCCACCTGTCCTACAGGTCTCTGTAGTGCCCATTTACATGTGAATAGTCACGCTTCATTTGGGACAGTGTCGGACGGTTACATTTGACGTGTGACCGCCTACCGCTCACAGGAGTATAGCAGGGCACACGCGGAATGTCAGGAGTCCGGTGACCGAGCTGCCAGAGAGATGACGCATTCCACGACCGATGACGCATTGGACGGGAGCTCGGGATAGCCAGAGTAGGGGAGGTGAGTCACATGGACTCAGAGTCAGAGGCAGAGTCGGACGTCACGAGAGTACGGAAGGAGACGGTGCATCGCCGGAGTTTCCGCTCGGCCGGGTCAGGATAGTCCGACTGCGCAGATCAGGCTGAATGGCGTCTTATTGGAGTCGAACTGCTTGCTGTGTGAGCATGAGTCCATCCAGGACGGCGCTTATGAGCCAGAAAATCGGTGAGAAGCGGAGAGACGCACACAGAGAGCGGACATTAACAAGGTGTGGAAGAATAGTTGTAAACACGTAAGAAGGATAGTTAAGATGGCCGGCGACCTCAAAATGACCTCGAATGGGTTGGGGTAGCCCGACGGCTATGCATGCTTGACAAGAATGTCAGACTGTGCAATGGGATGAGCTGTCACCTCACACCTTCTGCAGTCAACACCGTCTCGACGGGCGGGGAGAGTGAGGGAATGAGCTTCAGGGGTCGTTGCACAGATGGAAAGCTGCGTCACCCACCAGCCCACCCCCTGCCCTCCTGTCATTCCCTGTCAGGCTTGTCATCACCGATGAGGCTGTGTCGTCACCGATAAGGGTTGTGTCGTCACCGCTAGACATACGGCGAAGCTGATCACTCGGTACAGACAGGCAACGGTCCACTGACCAGGCGGTGAAAACAATGCTTCGACGACGCTCGAACGAATCTGACATGCGACGGATAAATAAAGGGGAGAGGTGGCAGGGGTGGATGCATCAAGCCAGGATGATGAGTGACATGGGATGGACAGACATGGGACATGAGATAAGGAACAAGCGATGTGTGATGGAAATATAAAGAGCCGACACATGTTCGAACCAAACCAACCGAATCAGCCAACGGGCAGATCGAGTAGAAATCACACCGCGGTGACTTTTGACCTCATGATTATCGATGGCGACGAGACGCCCACTCGGGTCAACAAGAGGGCACATCTGAGAGCGAAACTGGCGAACCGGACGATGTTCGCTTCATCCATCCCGAAAATCTAGCAAAACTGGCGCGGAATGTTCCAAATCACATCACACCCCGTCTCAGTCCGGCACTTCAAAGAATAGCTCCAATCGACAGATGCTGTCTAGCCAGACCCAACAGACAGATTCAGAAGCGCCCACATCTGTTCGGAATAGACCGACCGGTCGGACGGTTTCGTTTCATGAGCTCCACAGCTGGGTGGTCGAGCCATATCCAAGTTTCAGACGGATATATCGAGAAGACAGAATACATCTGGACATCGGGACTGGCTCAAACAGCAAACAGCGTCATAGACGAGTCTTGGCGGTGACAGAGCCAAAGCAGGTTCAAAGTTTCACAGCGCCACGACCAGGCTGGTCTTCTTCCGCCTCTCTGGCGGGCACGAGGCTGGCCGCTGCGTTCTGGCGGCTCCGATCAGGTTACCTAGCTCACGTGCCGGTCACTGGATCGGTCACCAGACCCAATATTGGTTACCGGCTGTCACAATGTCACATTACACAACCGACCGAACGACTAGGTCCACAAAGCTAGTCAAAAGCTGGCATTGGAACACCGAAATCCCACCTGACTTCCGAGCCCCATCCAACCCCCTCCTTACTCGCCTCCGGGTTTCAAACAGCTCTCCCTCATGCCAGGATGCGGGTCCTATTGATACCCTACCACCTGTCCACCTACTAGTGGCTCGCCCAACCGACCCGCCGAGACCCCCGGTGCCAGTGGATGACACTGTCCACCGAGCCTTCTAACGCCAGTCTGAGTCGGTCACCGGGTCCCACTGACCCACTGAAGCCCCAGGCGCCACGGGTCACCATTCCAGCCCATCTAGGCCAGGCGATGATCGTTCGTGCCCGTGCAAGGCTCGTTCCCAATAGAGTGCTGAGTGCAGCCGCAGGCACCCACATTAGCCGCAATGGCGTGACACGTGTCCGAGCCCTGCCGAGGGGCGCCGCCGAGAAAGGTAGCCGCGGCCGACCCACGCGGGGAGGGAGAGGGAAGGGGGGGGGGGCCTGCTACGGAACCGGACGTGCCACCCTCCCCTCTCCCCCTCTCCGCTCGCAGAGGACAGGCGGCCAGGCGCACTGCCGTTCCCCTCCCCACAGCCGTCAGGGAAGGGGAAGGGGCAGCGCGGTACCTGAGGGGTGATACGCGGACCGCGCTGGACCGCGTAGGGGAGACAGGTCGGTCTATCCGACATAGAAGGGCTGTGAGTCATCTCGCCGCTGTGCGTCAGGGAGCCACAGTGCATAGGTGGATGAAATGATTTCAGTTGCTGCCTAGAAGAAGCATACCACATTTTTTTCGCCCGTTTTAGCGCACACATCAGGCCCTAAGGCGGCGTCGCAGACTGACCGCACAAACGGCACATCATAAGACAACGGACGGCTGTGGATGTCAGATAGGCATACGTCAATACATCGGAAGGAATGCCGCAGACCGCACTAGCGTCACACGCTGGTGCAGCCAGAACCAGACAGCACGTCGTCATACAACAAACACGACCCAAGCCGCCTCGCCTCCCGCCACCTCTAGCGTCGTGCCGTGAGAGAATGTCTGACTCTGAGACGGCACGCCGGCCGGCTCCGTGCAGCCATCGCCACTGCAGCCGTGCCCGTGGCCGGAGGCCACTCGGTGCAGAATCCTGCCCGCCAGTGCCCAGAGGAACAGCAGCCAGCAGGCTACATCAATCGGCCGGCGGGCCAGGCTGACAATCAAGATCTGCCCTCAGCGCCACGGGACGCTAAAGCTAGCGTCCCAGCGCATACCAGCGTTCTAGTCTGGCCAGTCTACCATCAGCACAGAGAAGACACGCTGCGGTCGACTCGGCCGGACGATATGCGCCCGATAGCGGCGACACGAAGATGGCTCGAGGTTGGCTCAGACCTCAGAGACAGACTTGTGCCAAGGTCCCAAAAAGATCCGAGATCCAGGGTTCGCAGAGTCCAAGGTCTGGGACCTTGATGGATCCTGGACCTTGCATTGTCATTTTTGTCGCGAGACCTTGGAAACCCAGGACCTTAAAACATCCATATGCCGCGAGACCTTGGAATCCCAGGACCTTAAAACATCCATATGCCGCGAGACCTTGGAATCCCAGGACCTCAACATTTGCATATATCGCGAGACCTTGGAATCCCAGGACCTCAACATTTGCATATGCCGTGAGACCTTGGAATCCCAGGACATCAACATTTCATGTGACATGAGACCTTAGAAACCCAGGACCTCAACATTTCATATGCCGTAAAACCATGGAAACCCAGGGGCTAGGACCTCAAAATTTTGGTATGCTGCAAGACCCTGCAGAATGCAGACCTTCAGTACCAGTTTTATTATTTGTCATGGGATCTTAGGAGAACGGTCTGGACCTACACCACCATTTTGTTGAGGGACCTCAAGAATCCTGGAAGCTGGACCATGAGGTTTATGTTGCACATGGGCCACTAAGGACCCTGCACTAGGTTTTGTCTGTAAGCACTTCAATAAATATCTATGGTTGAGCGACCAGCTGCAAGGGGCTAGATAGCTACACGAAAATAAAACGAACCAGACTGTGTAGACATATATAGAGCAAAATCATTGCCATGGTTGTGAGGCAGAACTGGAACAAGAGACCTGGTAGCTTTTTACATTATCAATGTTATGGATTATGAAACTGTCAAACAGTGGACAGTGGTGGTTTGGAAAGTTCTTTTCTAATCTCACCTCACATATTTTCTGGGTTGTGATATGCCGGGCTTGAAGCTACTTGGAAGCTACCCACTGACCAAGTAAGTGTCAAACTTATTTGTTTTGCAATTCATCAAATCACCATTGAGCAATGAGCAATATAAGCAATCATTCCATGACAGTTCAACTTTTTCGTTTAGCAGGTTTTCGTCGGACAATTTTTCGTCTGCAGATTTTCGTCCGCAGACTTTCGTCTATGCATTTGTTCGTCTGTGTATTTTTAAGTCCGCGCATTGTTTTCATAAGGACATTTTCCGCCTCGTCCAGACGAAAAAATGCTGGACAGAAAAATACTCAGACGAAAAATGCACCAAATTAATTCGAACAGACGAAAAAATGCAAGACGAAAAAGTCAGACGAAAATCTGCCGACGAATAACCGGCTGACGAAACAATTGTCAGATGGGATTTTGTTCAGAGCCTTCAATCTAATGTGAATGAACAGTAAGTAAGGTTTGCGCTCGCTGATACTCTAATTCTATTGGCTTAGTCGATCAGTTTTTCTGTGAGCGCGCGTGCAAACAAGACTTAGAAGTGAAGAACATATCTTACTTTTTATCCTGGGTATTATGTAACTGAATGTGAAGAAAATCGAAAGCATATACCTATCCAATTCAACTTTTCCATTTCTATGAAGCCTGTAGGTTTTATTTCTGTTTTTTTTTTATATTGCCTGAAAGAATACTTGAATGTCTGTCTTCAATAACTGTAAGGTGCTATCCTACATTCCTACTTATAAGGTAAGATTGAATTGAAAGGGACATGACAATACAAATTGCAAGGTACCTATTACCTACCTATATTTTTTTTTACGAATTTGTCAGGTTAAAGAAGGAGAGATTGATATTATGATTCATTTTTAACTTGTGTTGAGGCTCCCCCTGCCTATGTTGGTTAACGATAAAACCACCACAGTCCACAGGTTTGCATAGGTTCTGCCCCTTTAAATGTTGCTGGGCATCCATTGGCAGAATATTTGGAAGTAAGTCTGCTCATCAGAATGTTAGTTTGTTTAAGTTCTTGTTGTGGGACCCTGAATACTTTGGATCCTGAGATGTATTCTTGCCGTGGGACCTTGAGGACTGTGGACCCTGAACTCTCTTGTGTGTACTTGTCATGGGACCTTGGGGACTGTGGATCCTGAAATTCACACTTGTCGTGGGACCCTAGAGACTGTGGATCCTGCAATGCATTCTTGTCGTGGGACCTTGGGGACTGTTGATCCTGCAATGCATTCTTGTCGTGGGACCTTGGGGACTGTGGACCCTGCAAAGTATACTTGCTATGGGACCTTGGAAACCTTGGATTCTAGAAATTGAATTTGCCGTGGGAGCTTGGAAACCTTGGATTCTAGAAATTGAATTTGCCGTGGGACCTTGGAAACCTTGATTCTAGAAATTGAATTTGCCATGGGACCTTGGAAACCTTGGATTCTAGAAATTGAATTTGCCATTGGACCTTGGAAACCTTGGATTCTAAAAATTGAATTTGCCGTGGGACCTTGAGGATCCTGGATCTTGATTTTTGGTCCCGGCACAAGTCTGCTCAGAGACGGACCGGATACGGTGTGCAGACCGCGCTCGCCAGCTGATCCGCTGCGGGGAAGGGAGATGGGAAGGTATGGGATGGCGATGAGATGGATGGGTAGGATGTGATGAGACGGCATGGGACGAAGTGTGAGATAATTAGAAGATGTTGCGGAGGTGATATCAGGCGAATGCACCGATGCATGACGTGAATGGGCACTTACTGATAATTAGACGATTCTCACGAATTAAAATCCATTATCACTCAGTCACAGCTTCCTTTTATAATGACAGATATTTCCCCAGGTGTTGCCCGTTGGGTCGTCTTCCGCTATTGCGCGCAGTCATCGACAATAGCAGGAAGGGCCCTTTCGTCAAAGGATGGCGCAAGATCCGCCGGCCGGCGTGCGGCAGGCACGGGTCAGAAACCTACCAGACTGTCCTTGGACGTATACTCCTTCCTCTTCGTACGCATCCAGCGTCGCACGGGCATGATGCCGCCGCTCACTCCCTCTCCCCACTCCTCTCACTCTCTCCGGTCACGTCACGTCACGGTGTCACCCTGCACGTGCCCCACACCAGCCGCCGCTCGCCGCTCACTGGAGACACTGGCGTCGCGCCGCTGCCGCCAGCGCCGCCATTTCACTCGCTCGCCGCCGCCGCCGCCGCCGCCGCCCGCGCGGGTCCCGTCTCGCCGGCCGGCGGCCTCCCCATCCCCGGCGCTGCCCGCGCGAGCACGCAGCCCACCCGGCTGACTGGGACACCCTCTGACACAGAACCCGTGACGCGGAGCGTACCCGGCCGCGCGGCGGCTGCGGCCCGAGCGGCCGCGGAGGCTGGACCTCAGGTAAGCTCGCGAGTCACAGGTACCGGCGCATACTTATAGTGCGCCTAGCGGCCGCTGGGGGCGCCCCGGTCGGTCCATCCAGTACCGCGGCCCAGCGGTGTCGCGGAACGACGGCCCAGGGTCGGCAAGGCCGCCGCTGTAGGTCGTCCGTCAGTCGTAAATTATAGAGACCGCATGTGACCTTCGGGTGCGTAACGGGGACCGCTCATTCAGAACCGGGCTCACCGTTTGACTTATGACGGAAAGTAAACATGTGTTTCTTCATTAATTAGGGATATGATCGAGGAACGCTAAATGGAAAATGATTGATGAATATCGATGATAAATCTCATTAATAATGCAAACAAGCATCCAGGAAGAGGACATAATAAAATTCAGGTACCAGAAACAGTGGGCAAATCTAAAGGCGATCAAACAAACTACCAGAAAAGGTAGCTATACTTAAAAAAATGAGCCAATTAATTCAACGCGACTGTGCTTATCAAAACATGCAGTTGCATAAGGAAATATTCACAAATTACCCACAAACCCCAGTAAGTGAGCTTGCAAAGCTTGGACCTTGGAGTCATAACAACATGCGTTCACTTGCTAATTACTAGCTGCATAACAATGCATCGAAAAAATATAAGGTAGACCGAAGTGGCCGAGCCCCTCTCGTTGGGACAGCAAAGGAGTGTACTCCTGACACCCACCTAGTCCTACTCAAATGCCCCCCCCCCCCCATGGGTGCACTTACACTGCACGCTGTTCTACTGGAAACGACCTTGGATCGATTGTCTGCTTGGTTAACCGGATATTGCAGAGTGAGCAGGATACGGAATGGTTGTCCTGAGGATAAAGAGGACAGATGGGTCATGCCGCTGGTACTTGTATACGATCTCTGATTACTATGGACACAACGGAATCAAGACAACGGCTGGCTAGATGACGGTCACTGCCCATTTGATCAGTCACACAAGCGTAAATATTTCGGTAAATAGGGGGCACCGGACAATTATGCTACAAAGACGATCGCCAATTGTATAACCATGACTACGGGCATTTCATGCCATTTCACCACCTCCGACTACGAAAAAAAGATCGGACTTGCTAGTCTAACTTCGAACGATCGACGCTACCAAGATCTCACGAATCACGATGCTACTGCTGAGGCTGCCCGCACGACAGGCTGGCAGGCAGCGCACTCTAGCGGGAAAATACACAAACTACAGCTTACCCGCCTGGCCACCAGGCCACGCTCATGAAGTTCGGTCGGTTTGGTGGTCGAGCGCACGTTCTGTCAGATGAGGAAATTTGGTCACTTAAACGTGCAAAACAACATAAAACTCAGCCACTGAGAAACATAGCCTAATGGCCCTTTCACACGTAGCAACTTTTCAGTCGCCGGCGACAGCAGCAGTCGCCGGCGACCGCCAGCGACCGCCAGCCAACGATCGTGTGTGACGTAGGTATGACGTAAGCAAGTCGGTGGCGATCGCCGGGCCACGGCCGGGCAATCGCCAGCAACTGGTGACGTCAGATCCGCGTCACAGGCCAGTCGCCGGCGACTCTTCTCGAGCAGCGGACGCCGCCATGACAGTTTTGTCCTTGGTGAGTGGTTTAGGTGATTTGTGATGCATTTTTGGTTGGTGTGGCTACCTTAAATTTGTTGCACAGTAGCATAGGGATTATTATCTTGTAGTTTGCCTGTCGTGAAGCTGTTGTGACTTGAATTTAAGCTTGATTCGACAATATTGGAGGGTTTATGTCATTTGTGGCGCACTTGCCCATGATCACCCATGATTTTTATTTGTGATAAATATGTATTTTTTTCATCAAAATTGAATATTTTAATGACATTGAAATTGACACTAGTTTCATAAGGTAATGAAAACTTGCTTGTTGTGTCACAAGAACATGGTTTACATTCAGTATCAGTGCCCGGCTTGAGGACAAAGTGCCTACCCATCAGTCAGCTATTTGCCTACGTATTCGTGCGCCACAAGGAAATATTTGATAGCAACAAAATATTATATTGCTGCTCATTAATTAGCATGATCAAAATCAAACAGGTAGCTTTGCAATTTTGTTATTGTTTCTGCTGGGGTTTTCCTTGGTACCATGGATAAACAACCCAGGCCAAACTTAATCCGCATTGGGTTCACATGTGTGTGCGTGCTCACATGGCAAATGATAATCCATGGCTTATTAGTACATAAATAATTGCATTATGCAACAGTAGGTGGTAGGTATGTCATGTATTTTGGCAAGGTATTAGGTGGTATGTATTTTGGGCCTGGAGCTGTTTCCTATTCATTGCAGCAATGCTGCCGTCATGGCTTATGTGTACCATGCGCACACAAGCTCCACCAATGTAAAAATGTCGTTTTCACACAAAACTCATAATTGGAGGAAGGTAGAGCAGACCAAGAATAAGCGGGCATTTGCTGCAGTGTGGAAAAAGTCACTAGAGGCTTGATACTTTTTTACATGCAGCAGCCTGGAGATGTCCACAGAGGCATGCCTGAGGATGTCCACAGAGGTGGATCCAGGCAATAGTTTTTACAATCTTCTCCCCTTGTGCCCGCTGTGTGTTGTGCTGACTGCTTGTCCCCCTTCTGGTGGTGCCTAGACTTGCCTCTGCATATCTCCCCAGGCTGCTGCATAATGTCTAAAAAAAACCCTCAAGCCTCTAGTGACTTTAATCACTCCAGTCTCTACAGCATATGCCCACTCATGCTACAGCTGCCTTAATAATACCAAAATTAGTAACAATGGTCTCATAACCATATTCAGTAGGAAATGAATTACCTAGAAAATTATATTAAAAAATACACTTGCTTTCAAAAAGAATGAGCACTGCTAAAATGCTATTATTTCAAATAATGCTAGGTTTCTGAACCACAAATTCCAATTCTGTGTCACTGAATACTGATTGCCAATTGTACAAGACAAAAAGCATCAACAATGCTACATCAAGGATAATGATGCTAAGATAGTTCTCATTTTAGCCTGAAGTGTAAAAACCAAACCTAACCTGATTTGGGTATTTGGGTAAACCAAGCCTAACCTGATTTGGGTATTTGGGTAGTTTTATGATGCTAAGCAATAGCCTATTCCAGGCTTCCTAATTTGCAGAGCTTTTGGTTAAAAAATGATTTTTAAAAATGTATTTGAAGTATGTTCTGACATGTCCGCCCTCTGTGCCTGGCAGACAAGTCACAGCGTTACCTGATGAGTCAAGAGGTTCTGTACCTGATGTACCTGATCAAGAGTACCTGATGATTCTGCAACACCACCTGATGGCCAACTCGACGGCATTGCTGACCCGAAAAGGAGTCTAGCAGCTGAATGTTCAACTTCTGCCACTGCACTGTTGACTCTGCCTAGAGACAGCATCTGCACCACGGCCCACAGACGATCTTCCGTGGGACGGTGTGCTGCGCACCAGTCACCACACTGACGGCGTTCACCTGTGTGCTGCACAACTTTCTGTGAGGTCAGGAGATCGACACTGACGGCCCCGGACGGTGTGCTCTGATTGCGCCGAGTGTGCTCCCTCGTGTCCGGGCCTTGATGCCAATACCGCACGCGAGGCGGCGCGCGTCCGCCAAGCCCTCACATACTGCGTCCAAGGTGCAGGTGGTGTTCGGTGACAGTGTGCAGCTTCTGCCGGCCCCGTGGACGGCACCGCATGTGACCATGGCATGTGCATTCGATTTTCTGACATAAGTGCAGTGAATTCATTTGTCATTTTGCTTCTGAATGGTGTCGCCGCTCGGTAGGGTCGATTCTGCCAGAGTAAAGAGGTCGCCACGATCGGCGGCGGTGGGCGGTGCGGCAAGCCGGAGCAAGGCACTCAGCAATCAGCTGCCGGGAGGTGGCGGCGGCGGCGGCGGCTGACGACTCGGGCCTCGAAAATCCTGTCGTGTGCGTTGCTGGCTATTATGCGTTGTTGGTGTGCGCTGTTTTGCAAGGCCTTTGGAGCGGCATGTCGAGTTTTGGACGAAGGAGCCTTGGTGTTTTGTTGGTCTATTTTCGATAAAAACGGTCATGAAGAGTGAGCTGTGTCCAGGCTGATTTTAAGATTTCTGTCACAGTATTGTCACCTTTGACCTAGGCTTGTGTCTTCTTGGGTATCGGCATATTGTGCCACCGTCTTTGCCCCGTGTCCGCGCGTGCTGCATTTTTATGTATGGTGTCATATACTGTCACCTCGCCATGTTTAGTGATATCCACTGTGTGGAAAAATGCATTTTGTTATAAGGGGGGGGGGGGGGTACACTTGTGTTCCCCAATCCAGCGCTTTAGATAATACAGCATCTGTTTTTGACATAATGAAAGCCTGTGTTTTATGTGGGTGGTGGGCTTCGCCGTTCCTCAGGTCCGTTTCTGGCATTTGAATTTCTGCTACATTTCTAGAATGCCTTTTTTTCTGTTTTTCATATACAAAGCACGGTTCAAATGTGTGACCACAAATCACTGTGATTGTCCCATGCTTACCACCAACCATTCCTTCAATGCTAATGTCGTTACAGCGAAGTTATTCATTTATTGAGAACAGGGTTGTAGTTGAATAAACAAGACAGGTGAGCAAAATCTGCAGCACTCGTAGTCTTGGCTGATGCGTTAGGAAAAATGGAGGAACTGCAAGTACACATCACTTTTCAGTTTTATGCTTGAGTGCATTGAATTCCAATGTAGAAGAATCGCAGTTTGATTGTATTTTCATTGATATTATGTATTGTTTCAATAATACTCGTAGATCTAATAAATATTATTCCAATATTACCTAGACGGTAGTTATCATCCTGCAAAACATGTCCAAATATTTAGTACCTTGAATAATGCAGTAAAATAAGCTGCGCCGCTGCATGTATCAGCAGCGCAATATCTGGTGCCAACTCAAGGTCAAGCGGGTCACGTGACAGCTGAGCGGCGGCTGGCTAGTACAGTCGCCGGCGACTTCAAAATGTTGGAAAAATTGAACTTTCTCGGCAACGCCGACAACTCTTCAATGATTGGCTGACACGACTGCTACGTCACACCCCGGCGACTGGTCAGCTGATATCGACAACTGCGGAGTTGCCGGCGACTGACCCCGGTCGCTGGCGATCGCCGGCGACTGACCCCGGTCGCTGGCGATCGCCGGCGACAGTTGCCGTCGCCGGCGACCGGAAAAGTTGCTACGTGTGAAAGGGCCATAATTTAGCGAGATGGAGACTGATTTATGTTGATTTTCGGCACAGGCACGAACGATATGAACCAACGCCAGGGCGAACCAATAGGCCCGGGCAGCGCTTGTCGAACAGCACTGCGGATCCGAAGGTTGGGACTTTAATTGTGAAAAACCGCCTGCCCGCCGCAAAACGCAAACACCGCAAAACGCGCAAAACGCACGCCTAAAACGCCAACGCAAACTTCGCAAAAAAAACAATCGCCCGCCCGCCGAAAACCGTAGAAAAAACGCACAAAATGCCGCAAAAAAACGCGCGTCCGCCGCAAAACACAAACACCGCAAAAAACGCAAACACCGCCGCCGCAAAAAAAACGCCCGCATCGCCCGCCGCCAACCGCGAAACGCCGCAAAAAAACGGCCGCACGCCGCGAACCTCCAAAACGCCGCAAAAACGGCCGCCCGCCGCAAACCGCTAAACGCTGCAAAAAAACGACCGCCCGCCGCCCGCCGCTAACCGCAAATAACGGCCGGCCGCCGGCAACCGCAAAACGCCGTAAAAAACGGCCGCCCGCCGCAAACCACAAAACGCCGCAAAAAACGGTCGCCCGCCGCAAACCGCAAAACGCCGCAAAAAACGGCCGCTCGCCGCAAACCGCCGCTAAAACGGCCGCCCGCCGCCAAACGCAAACAGCAAAAACACCCGCATCGCCCGCCCGCCCGCCGCCAAACACAAAAACCGCAAACACCGCCGCAAAAAAAAAACGCCCGCAACGCACGCACGCCCGCTGCCAACCGCATAACGCCGCAAAAAACGGCCAACCGCCGCCAAACGCAAACACCGCCAAAAACGCAAAAACGGCCGCCCGCCGTCAAACGCAAACCCCGAAAAAACGCAAACAGCGCCGCAAAAAACGCCCGCCGTAGGCAAAACGCTAACACTGACGCATTAAGACAAATATGGCGCCCTGCGGCATATGTCGTGCATTCATATCTGCCGTGTAAGCAGCCATCCCTTAATTACAGCGCATCCTAATCGTCCAATGTTCGACAAAGTTGCGCACATTCTGCGCTTTGCGGCAGAAATGGCGCTTTGAGACAAACGTGGCGCACTGCAACAAATATGGCGCATTCGTTCATGTCGCTTAACAATTCATCCACCCACCAAATTCTAGCCCAATCGGACTTAAACTTACAAAGTTATGTACATTTGAACATTTCACTATACAATATCTCCGCAACGGAGGTGCCCAGATTTGCACGTGTGCCACGTGACCACCGGTGGTGCAAGCAGCACTTGTCCCCTCACTGATTGCACCATTTCAGTGTTCCTGGCTTGTGCTGTTTTCGTGCTATAAGGCCACAATTCGGCAAACACACGATAATCTGGGAGATACGCGACTCAAACACGTGGCCACGTGGCACGTGCCGGACCTTTGATAGCTTCACCGTTCACGCCACGTGATGACCCATAGACGTGGCCATCAGCATATAAAAGATGACCCCGGCCGGTGTCACCGTCCCTGAACAGTGAACGGCTAAAGTCGAAAAACGGGAAAATTTAGGGAAATTTCACCTTTCGAAGATATAATTTCCCCAGAATTTTGAATTTTTCATTTTACAAAAAATCCGAGATAGCAGTTTTTTAGCCTCCTTCATTCTGTGCCTACACCCGTTTTCAGATCGACCCTATCACAAAATCTGACGGCCTGACGGCTATTTCCCCCATTCCTTGCATTTTACAATTCTAGTATATTTAAGCACCAAAATTGACCCCGTGCCACGGCACGTGCAATAGCACGTGCGCCACGTGACCACTAGTGCGACAATCTGGACTCATCTGCTCACCGGCTGCGTTGATTTGGTGTCGCTAGGTAGAGTGGTTTCCACGCCATAGGACCCCCAGTTGGCCAATGTCGGATTTTCCCGGAGGTTCCCCCATCAAACACGTTTGCACGTGGCACGTGCTTTTCAATCGCCCCATATCTGACCCATATCATGTGGTAGCCGACACCCCGGGGCACAACATATTGGAACATTTTCAAAATCTAACGTGGAAATTTTTTGCAAAATCGATTTGAATATAATTTTTCGAAATTGCCATAGGCTCAACATGGGGTAACTATCCGTCCCGATTACCCGAAATTCTGTCATTTATATTTTAAATAATTACCACCATCAGGTGGGGTCCCGGCCCGAGATTCGACCCTAAAAATATAATTCATTTCTAACGTGGAGTTTTTGCGCAAATCGAATTTTAAATTTTTCACCATGTTAACCCTATGGGAAAATGCACGTGCCGATTACCCCAAAACGTGTCAATTATATTTTTTGCAACTTTGCCAGAAGGTAGCTCCCCCACACGGGACCAAACGCTGAAAATGGCAAGAAATTCTACCGTGCCGTTTTCTTCCCTGTCAAAATGTCCAAAATCGCGGCAGAAACGCTAAACACCCCCCTAGAGAGGTAGCTCAGGTTGGGATTTTCAATAGAAAATCACAATTCTAAAGAATAGTGATTGTCTAATTGAAAAGTCCCAACCTTCGGATACGCCCGCCGCAAACCGCCGCTAAAACGGCCGCCCGCCGCCAAACGCAAACACCGCAAAAACACCTGCATCGCCCGCCCGCCCGCCGCCAAACACAAAAACCGCAAAAAACGCAAACACCGCCGCAAAAAAACGCCCGCAACGCACGCACGCCCGCCGCCAACCGCAAAACGCCGCAAAAAAAACGGCCGCACGCCGCCAAACGCAAACATCGCCAAAAACGCAAAAACGGCCGCCCGCCGTCAAACGCAACCACCGAAAAAAACGCAAACACCGCCGCAAAAAAGCCCGCCGGAGGCAAAACGCAAACACTGACACATTAAGACAAAATATGGTGCCCTGCGGCAAATGTGGTGCATTCATATCTGCCGTTTAAGCAGCCATCCTTTAATTACAGCGCATCCTAATCGTCCAATGTTCGACAAAGTTACGCACATTCTGCGCTTTGCGGCAAAAATGGCGTTTTGAGACAAACGTGGCCCACTGCAACAAACATGGCGCATTCGTTCATGTTGCTTAACAATTCATCCACCCACCAAATTCGAGCCCAATCGGACTTAAACTTATAAAGTTATGTACATTTGAATATTTCACAATAAAATATCTCCGCAACGGAGGTGCCCAGATTTGCAGTTGTGCCACGTGACCACCGGTGGTGCAAGCAGGACTTGTCCCCTCACCGATTGTTTCATTTCAGGCTTCCTGGCTGGTGCTGTTTTCGTGCTATAAGGCCACAAGTCGGCAAACACACGATAATCTGGGAGGTACTTGACTCAAACACGTGGCCACGTGGCACGTGCCGGACCTGTGACAGCTTCACCGTTTACGCCACGTAATGACCCATCGACGTAGCCGTCAGCATGTAAAAGATGACCCCGGCCGGTGTCACCGTCACTGAACAGTGGACGGCTAAACTTGAAAGACGGGAAAATTTAGGGAAATTTCACCGTTCGAATATATAATTTCCCTAGAATTTTACATTTTTCATTTTACAAAAAATCCGAGATAGCAGTTTTGTAGCCCCCTTCATTCTGTGTCTATACCCGTTTTCAGATCGACCATATCATAAAAACTGACGGCCTGACGGCTATTTCCCCCATTCCTTGCACTTCACTATGCTAGTATATTTAAGCACCAAAATTGACCCCGTGCCACGGCACGTGCAATAGCACGTGCGCCACGTGACCACTATTGCGACAAGCTGGACTCATCTGCTCACCGGCTGCACTGATTTGGTGTCGCTAGTTGAAGTCGTTTCCACGCCATAGGACCCCCAGTTGGCCAATGTCGGATTTTCCGGGAGGTTACCCCATCAAACACGTTTGCACGTGGCACGTGCTTTTCAATCGCCCCATATCTGACCCATACCATGTGGTAGCCGACACCCCGGGGCACAACATACTGGAGCATTTTCAAAATCTAACGTGGAAATTTTTTGCCAAATCGATTTCAAAATAATTTTTCGAAATCGCCATAGGCTCAACATGGGGTAACTGTCTGTGCCAATTACCCGAAAGTTCTCTAATTATATTTTAAACAGTTACCACCGACGGGTGGGGTGCCAGCCCGAGAGCCGACCCTAAAAATGTGGACAAATATTACTGAACAGATTTTCCGTAAATCGCATTTTTAATTTTACCCCATGTTAACCCTATGGGAAAATGCACGTGCCGATTACCCCAAAACGTGTCAATTATATTTCTTGTAACTTTGCCAGCCGGTAGCTCCCCCATACGGGACCAAACGCTGAAAATGGCAAGAAAATCTAACTATCCGTTT